AAAAAAACAGGGAGGGACACAGAAAATCAAAGCGTGGAATTCTGATGTTAGAGAAAAACAGGGTGGAATTCTGATGTTAGAGAAAAACAGGGTGATGGTCTCATTCAGCCTCCAGGTGTCGAAAAGCAAAGAGGGCAGAATAACACGGTCATGGTTTTTAGTTAGAACACAGACGTGGCTAATTGTTGCCACAGGCAGGATGGAGATGTTCTAGGTGGACAGAGTTTTCTGTCTTGTTTTATAACTCCGCTCCAGCATGGATCGGAGTTATAAAATGAAGCTTAGGGAAATCTTACAATAAAAGCAAATACCAGTCTAGACACCAGATGATCCAAAACAAACTTAACCCAGAAGCAGGTTTTAATTAGTTTGACTGGCACCAAAACTTTTTTCAACGCGCTGCTGTAGAAAGACTAAATTCACTTGATCTAAAGGTAGTTTATTTATGTTGTATTTCTATTCTATATAAAGAAGAGTGAATCATTTTAATCCCATTTTCTCTATTTTTCCTTTCAAATTATGAAGAAAATATGATTCTGATTCTGTAGGCAGACTAGATTATTTATTTTCTTTGAACTGACATGTTTATGTCTGGGTTTATGAAAGAAAAATTCAGTGTTAATGGAATCTGGTTTCATTTAAGGATCCATCGTTGTGGACGGCCATGAGCTTCATGAGGAGGACCTGAGGCTGATGTACACCTTTGATCAGAGCTCTGGCTCCGCTGCGCAGTACGAAGCTCACTCTGATGCACAGGTAGGCTGGTATAGTAAACACTACTGTATGGCAGCTTCAAGCCCTGCAACTTCTAAGTGTGTAAACAGGCATTTAATGAACTTGTGGCTGCTTCCATCCGTATCAGATTTATCCAGCTTAAAGTGCTGGATAAATCTGATACATTCTTCTCATTGTGGCCTAACTTAGACTCAGAACACCTTTTTTGTCAGTTTTCTTTACTTTTGCACTGACCCTATCATTTGTTGATTTGAATGTAATTTAATTTGTTTTGTCTTTGTAAAGATATCAGTATGTTCTGCAAATACAGGTTTCTCTTCCTGCACTCTCACTTGTTAGCGCAGTGGTAAAGAAGCATAGAAACACTTATAGTCCTGCTACCTCGCGTTTTTCCCTCAGCAGTAACAGATTGTCTGCTTTTGATGGCTATGTTCAGGTAAAAAGTATGATGGAATCAATCTAAAAGGACAGTGAATGCTGCTGTTGCTGCACCAGGCTTCTCTGTACTGTAAATGCATTTGTCGATCTTCGCAGTATGTGTGATATATGAAATAATTTCACGGCTAAGTGGAAACCAGCACGTATGCCTTTCCCACAGGCCTTCCCTAATCAGTGCTCCTCCAACCGTATACACACCACACGGCTGCACCTTAATACCAGTGTACTGAGCTGGCTCTTTAATTCTTACTCATACGCCGTCACGCTATCTCTCCTGCGCCCATCTGTCTCTATCTCTGCTTTCTCATCTCTTATTCTGTTTCTTCATTGCATTTATGAACATCCTCACACTCTCATCCCCCTTTATCCACCCTTCTGTGGCAGGGAGTTCAGGACTAGTAGCTTAACTTTATACAGCACACTGATCAGTGACACACATAGACTGCTGTATTTTCACCATTGCTGCAACTTTTGTTTGATTTTGCTTTTGTTTTATAGAGTTAACCAACAGTATAAGTGCTGTGTTGCTATGGCTCCTCTATTGATTTCAAACTTCTCAAATAAATATTGTATTGTATTGATGTGGGTGGCTAAAGTAAACTCATGATGTTAGAAAGAGTGTAGTATCTTAACCTCTACCCGGCTTTGGAATAATGCCGTTAAAGGTATAGTTTAGGTGTTGCACACAACATTTATGGCTGCACTAATCTTTTGAATGTCATATCAGACTAAATGTTATGAAGAATTGTTTGGATGCAAAGAAAACTATTCTCATGAACTGGAAAGCAAAAGATAAACTTAATATTAATCGGTTCAGAAATGTTCTTTTAGAACATATTAGAGTGGAAATATCTGCCCCCTCCAAACAGCAACCAGCTGGATTGAATTCTCTCTGGTCCCCATTGATTAGCTTTATCACTTAGAGGGGGCGTTGGACTGTTGTCTCTCTGCTCTGGGCAGTTGGGAGGGGGCTTGAGGGGGGAGGTCCTGGGGATTCGGGACTCCGATGGTCTCTTGGGTTGTGGGTCCCAGTTGGATCTCTATTGGGGGGATGTCTGGCCAGGTTGGAGGTTTTGGGGGCCCTGGGATGGATCTGTTTTGTGGCCTGGGAGGTAGTCCCTTGAGGAAACCTAGTGGCTGTGACCGGTGGCCCCTCTGCACGCTTAACTGAGCACAATCTGGGAAACCTGGGCTGCTGGTTTTCGCTCACACACACACAGTCAGTTACCCAGAAACACACCTCTTCATGCTTCTGTGCAGTTACCGCACAGCTCTGAGATGCTCTTTAATGTCCCTGCTACCAGAGTGGTTGCCGTTGGCTTTTGTTGCTTGTTTTGTTGCGAACCTTCTCTCATGTTTGCCTTTATGGGATACATGTAAAGTTTTGCAACCAAAAATAAATAAATAAAGCAGCACCGGATAATCAAGGGGGGGTTCACCAATGAAGCCTCCTTTGGAAAAGCAAATGTGGTCAGCATAGCTCTGTACTCAGATTTCAGTTCTGCTGGCATAATGCTGAACCGGACATGGTTTTAAAAAAAAAATTTGAATTGTGTGGTGGGGGGGGTGAAAAATGTTGTGAAAACACTAGAAGTTTCGGCTGCACCTCAAATTCTGTTAATAATTTAGAAATAATGTGGTTTGCCGTAGTTTTTTTCACTCATTTGGCTGCGATCAGACTATTGGAAAGACGTGGATATCTGAAGGAGGCTTGTAGTGGTATGGGATGTGAAATTTGACCCTTTTCGCAGGCAAATCTTGTCACAATTTTTTTACATAGCTATAATTTGTTTATATCATTGAATCCCCTGACTGACTTCACATTGCATCACCCAGCATGCATTCTCTTCTAGCTGGTATGGGAACCTTTGATTGTGTTCGCCCCTTATCATAAATAATAAGTTGTAGATTTCTTACATGTCCAAACCCAAAAGGTGAATAAACTGAAAGTCCTTCATCAGTTTTGAGTAAAATGTTTTTATCAGCAAAATGCTTACGTGAGTTCAACTTTACCCTTTCTGTAATTACCTCTTATAGGTCCTCGTGCTGTTGGATGTCACCCCAGACCAGTCCATGGTGGATGAGGGCGTTGCCAGGGAGGTCATCAACCGTATTCAGAAACTACGCAAGAAGGTGAGGCTGTTGCCGGGGGAGCCTCAGTAGCTCTGGAGACAAGAGTGACACATAACACACAACTATTACATTCTACAATCTAGTGTTTAATAACTGGGAACTGACATAGTTTAAAAACCCGGCGTGTGTAATCTGGGCTGCTCCACACAGTGCAAAACACGCCACTGAACTGATGTGATAAGTCTCTCTTTGACCTTTTGAGGTTTTTGCTTGTTTCACATCTTGAAATGTTCATATGGTTGTTGGGAAAAACAAAATCTTAATTTTGACCTGCATATTCAAGTTAATACCCCCCAACAAGTGTGATTAAATTTATCAGCAGCTCAGTATTGCAGCCCTACTGTGAAGACGCAGCACAGAAACGCTTATATATGTATTTTGTTATATTCCCCTCCCTTTAATCGCTGCTTGTTCCCACCCTTCCTTTTTATGCCCCATGCTATTGTCAGGGCAGTTTTGAAATCTTTCCACTGCACCGTCACAGTTTCTCCATCATAAGGCAGGCTTAATGGAAGCTTAATTACAGTCTGGCCCCTTTCAGATTCTAATGTTGGAGCTTTGAAGTGGTCTGGGGAGTAAAGACGGATTATCCAACAGCCCCTTGTTTTCACAAGAAACAAACAGTTTTTTCCGTCTCCCTATAGCAGCGTTGTGCACTGGCCCCCAGCCAGGCTAAATTCCTCTTGTTATTTCAAACTGAGAATAGGTTGGAATTTTCCACCATGTGGTTGGGAATTAATTTTTAGCAGTTCATTTTGAGTAGTAGTTTGTGGGTGTGCATGAGTAATCACTGTTTGTGTGGGACGCGGGGTTGGCATACGGGGGTCAGCATCTCCTCTTTTTCTTTTTTTTTTAATACACTGCTCACCAGCTGGAGATCTTTATAGCAGTATCTGACACACACAGTGCACAAACCCTATCATGTTCAGCACCTTGACTTGGGGAAACCTATAAACCTCTCTCCATTGATTGGCAGCTCCTTCGAATCTTGCTAAAGTTGTTCTTCTGCCCTTGAGCCACGCACTGCAGTTGAAGCGTGCTCGCAGGCATTTACGTGCACGACAATACACGTGCATGTCCATGCACACAGGAGCACTGCAGCACACTGCAGATTAGAATGAGATCAATGTGTTTAAATGTGTCAAGGTGAGCGGAAGTATGCCAGATAGATGGGCTTTCATCCAGTCTAAATGTCTCCTACCCTTCTGTCTTCATTTTTTCATGTACTTTCTGTTTTATGCTTTTCATTCTCAGCTCTGTTTTCCTCTTTGTCCTTCCATTTAAAAAAAAAATCATTTTTTCCATTCTTTAAATTAATTATTTACCTCATGCCAATTGTTAATATGAATAAAAACATTTCCAGGGAAAACATGTTTTTTCCACACAGTTCTGAATGATGTGCCGCTGGAAAGCTATCTGTAGAAAATTGCGTTTGGACGAATGGTATTTTAAAACGGGAAGGTTGTCGACATGTAGGAGCTACGGATATCGCTTTCTGGGTCCAAGAAGCGCCTGGAATCAGACTCAAAGTGCAGATTAGTTGCGTATGGCTAATCCTGATGCATCGTAGCTCTGTGTTGCTTTAGCAACCAGCTTCCAGTTCCCTTCAGACACACTCACTCGGTTTCTTAAAAACTATACACCAGGGACTGTTCACCACATCTCTTACTTTTGTCTTAGGGTCATTTGGTGCCATCGGATGAGATAAGTGTGTACTATCGCTGCCAGCCAGAGGGGGACTACTTGGCCTCCGTAATCCAAGCTCATACTGACTTTATTCTGGCCACCATCAAGGCCCCGCTTCTGCCCTTCCCTGTCCCAAAGACCGCCAACATCATCATAGAGGAAAAAACTCAGGTACGAACAGAGGTTTGTGTTTGCTGTATTTAGATTCCATCTCAGTTAAAAAATTTTGAAAAAAAAAGAAAAAAAAAAGATTCCATCTCAGTTTAGAGCATTGTTGTCATTTTATAATCTGAATTTAAGTTGTAAAATATCCTTCACTTGATAACAGGGGCACATGTTGACTCATTGATCGGTTCTGGTTTTTACAGCTCAAGGGTTCAGACTTGGAGTTGACTATAATTAAGGGATCCTCTGATCTGAAAACGGCTCTAAATGGACCAGCTTGTGCATACGTGAACCTCAGGGTGAAACTCAATAACAAAGAGCAGGGTGAGAAATACATTTTTCACTGTCACAGTTTGAACAGTTTGAACGACAAAAGTTGATTCACAATTAAAAGCACTCATCCCTTACCAATAAACATTCAGCCCGCCTCAGTGTTTATTATTAATGCTGACTCATAGATTCAGTCGTACCTGTCATTCACGTCATGAATTGTTTGGCTTTGTTGATGGTCCGTTTGGCTGTTTTTTCGTCTTCAGAAGGGGTTGTGCTGTTGGAGAACCCCAAAGGGGATAACAGGCTAGACTTGGATAAACTGAGGAAAGTATGCGGCAGCATCTTTGGAACCAACAACACCCAACTCAGATTCTTCAATGGTGGAGCTGGTAAGAAGTGTTGTGGCTCCTCAGACTGACATAAACGTGTCTCTTTCTTCTTTATTCTGTGACACCAGTCAGTCTTCTGTCATTGACTGCTGTTCTTCCTGCCGCCGCACTGTTGCGACAATGTCATGTTAAAATTGACGTGCTCATTTAAACCCGCCGGAGTCATCTGCACGGTTCCGGATTCTTTGGGCTTGTGGTTGACACCTTTTCTGTCTTCAATGCAGAGTTGACGAGCAAAACGGACCTTCTGGCTCTGAGTGGTAAAACTTTGTCGGTGACTTCCGGCCCGTCCTCCGCTGGCCCCGCCCCCCCCAGCGACGCACTGCTGTGTCCATATGTGAACCTGCTTCTGTGCAACGCACAGCCAGCGGGTGAGAAACACACACACACACACACACATACACACACACACACACACACACACACACACATAAATAACATAAGTCCTCAAACTGTTGAGGAGCAAGACCTGGTACGTGTTATGTTATTATCATCAACAAATCAGTGTGACTGTTTATTAAATATGTCATTATAATCAGGAGCACCATCACCACTTTTTCCTTTTTCTTTTTTAAACTAATAGCCACAAAAGATCTGAACGTTTCTCTTGGATTACTCAGCTCAGACCCTTCAATATACAATCTTAGTCTTGGGAAATCATGGGGAAAGGGCTATTGATACTTTATTGAAGGTTATACGACCATATTTGAGGTTGAGCCGAACTTAAAAAGAATAGTTTGCCTCTTTCTGTGGCTTATGTCATTTAGCTGCAAATAAAATTCACCCTTTGGAGCCTTTAAAGATTAATGGACTCATTCGACATCTGTGGGAGGGCTAGCTGACAAGATCTATACTTTCATTTTGGTGCAGTTATTGCAAAGCTCCTGCCAAGAGCAACATTAGACAGCTGGCCTGTTAAAAAAGAAGAAAAAAAAAGTTATACAAAATTACCTTTTATTTGATTTTAAAAATCCACATAAATAACATAATGCGAAGCGGTGTTTTTCGAAGACGTTAAGTTATGTAAAGCCGATCTGTGAAGCCGCTCCCTGTGATTGATTTTAACTGTCTGCCCTTCAGAGTAGCACCGTTTTCATTTTTTTTATTGAAATCTGATCCAGATTCCGTTGCCTTCCCCATCCCTTTCATTTACATGTCAGATATTCCCAATAAGGATGCATCCTCTCCTTCTTCCAGTGGCTGAGCTTAGGCCTGGTTCATACTCTGTTGAGGACCTATTTATTTTCCTGTTCTCATTCTCTTGTGCCTCCTTTAGAATGCCAGGCTGGAGAGACGGGTACCCTCCTGCTGGTGAACCCAGTCGGCCAGAATGCACTCCATTACTCAGGCCTGCTGTCTGAAGCTGCCAAGGTTTTTGGCCTCCGCAGCAGGCGGCTCAAACTTTACCTGGACCAGGACCTTACTCAAGGTAAGAGGAAAGGCTGGTGGTTATCATTCACTTAACCTAGAGTCTTTAAAATCAGATACCGTGTGGATATGAAACACGTCCGCATCTAGAGACCGACACCACAAAACAAAGTTTTGTTTCCAGTTAGTTTAAGAGATGTATGCTACTGCAAAGTGCTCGATGCTGAACTTTCCCGGCTACATGTGTTCCACTCTGTAGAAGCAGAGTGTGATTCCGTTGATAAGTGTTTTCATTTTAAAAAGAAAACAAGTGAGTGATGTTTGGCTCCAGACAAATGGTTCCGTCCTGCAACACTGGATGCATTTCAAATGTATTGAGTGCTGGTCTCATGAGAAGGACAAAAGCCAAGTTCTACTTTTACTACTTTTTGAAGTTTTCAGATTGCTCACTACAATACATCATGTCATAATCTTCCAGCCCTTCATCAACTCTTTTACATACATGCAGTTAAGTCAAAGAATAAAGGGAAGGAAAAAATCCGACTTTAACTTAAGCAAATAGCTTTAACTTAAACTTAACTCTTTCTGTAATGAGAAATCAAAAGAGTAAATTAAAGTCCCCTGGAGATGTTTTTTGTTTTTTTCCCCTTAAAATCTGGGATTTGATGTGTGATCACTCAGATTTCATCTTGGTCACAATTGTAAACAAGCAGATTGTAAACCTTTGTGCCTCTGTTTTTTTAGAGCTTCAAGCTGATTCATCGGTAAAGTCCCTCAACACCAAAACTGTGTTTGTGAGAGTCCTTCCAACCACCGCTGAAGCATAAATCAACAGAAGCTGTTTCAGGAACACTTGTTTTTCGATGTGGCCGCTCTGCCAAGTTTTCCACCACCCCAAAAGCCCCACTGATGCACAGTAAATTCATGAGATGTGGCAAACGGAAGTCCTGATGCAAAACTGTGTGTCGAATTAACAACTGTCTCACTCAAGATTACTTAAAATGCTAAATGTCCAAGTTCCAAGGAATTATGACATATATTAAAGATTTCAATTGAACCACTGATTCTGTTCTTTTCTCCCTTCTTGTTGACGGTCAGGCTTCTTTCACTTGTGCTTAGTTTTGTAAGGTGACAGTATATGTTGGGTCAAACCAGTGTGCTCAAACAGCTGAAGGGAAGTTCCAACATAACCAGTGAGGAATCTCATTGGATAGTTTTTTTTTTCCCAATGATAACCTGAAGTTGCTGCCATTGAAAATTGGAAATTGTCTGAATGAAGAGCCAATGGATGTGAAAGTGCTCAGAGTGAATTTCAGCGGTTCATTTATTTCACATAAGATTTTTTTCAACTTCTTAAAAAGAGGTTTCCAGGACACAGACCAAGTCAATTAACTGTCACTGTCACCGCTTGATAATTCTCTTTATTATGATAATGCTGCAGATTACTTCCCCTCATGGCTTATTTTCAATGTGTTCAATCCACAGTAATTATGTTTTGACTCATAATTGCAAAGAGTTTGGGCCATTGTGCTTCTAGACCATTGAGAATTTAACAGATAGACCTATTGTATTCATTGCACTGGGGATTTTTAGACAAAAGAAGGGGCATTTAAAAGGTGAAATGGATTTTTGGGCTGCTGTACCTTTAGAACACAAAAGGGTTCCGTCAAACAGCGCAACAAATGGATCTTGTGCTATTTTAAGTGATGAGCAGAATAAAGGAAAGATAAATAAGATTTGTTGTCTTTCTTTTTTTCATTCACTCTTTATTAATTTGTATTCAATCAGACCGCGCTGGGAGGGACGCAATGTCTGTAGGATCCTGCAGTCTGACTTGACTGCAATTTTAGAGAAATGTCCTTTTCTTTATTAATGGGGTTGTTTTTGACCGACTGGGGATTTTGTTCAGTAGCAAGGTCAGGGAACAGATGCAGCAAATTGGATTAAAAATGCCCAGAGCAGAACAGAGGGATATTAACTTAGACATTCTGGGAAACACTTGGCTTTCTTGACTTGATTTGAATGCGAAAACTAATTCTGCCCTCATGTAATCATTAATAATGAAGCCTCAGTGGCTTATTAGTTCACCTCTGTTTTTGGCTGAAAGCACACAAAACCAGGTAGCTCAGTTCTGTCTGAAAGACCTTCTGACCAAACCGGTACATTTAAAGCCTGCCCTCTCTTTCGTGTGACAGCGATTGAAGTAGATGAAGACGTGTTTATGCGAAAAATCCAAATATGTAGTCAAGATCTAATCCCACTCATATTTTGGATAAGTTTCCTATTGAGGTTTATTTCAAACAAATTTCATCACATGTGAATTGGTTGCCTTGAGTTGGGCCTGCATGTTGGTTTGTTAGCACTATCTTCTTTGTAAGTATCTGTGCTGGGCCCCACCCTGCACATGTGCGGCTCCTCTCCAGGTGCTCAGACTTCCTCCTGCTGTCATGCACGCTAAGTTAATTGGTTGATCCTTGGAATTAGTGCATGCTTGTTAGACTGAACTGTTTCTGTGTTGATGCTGTGATGGACTGGTGACCAGTTGGGGCTGCGCCCCACCTTTGGCCCCATAGCAACTGGGATAAGCTCCAAACCCTTGTAAACATAGATTGGATTGAACTTGAATGGAAAATGGTTTGATGGATGATATGCTTTGGAAGGACATTTACAGGAGATATTGAGCCAGATTATGTCTGTATGTGTCCCCGCCATTTGTTACTTACTGAAATGCTATCAATTATTCCCTCTGACTCTGTTAGAAAATATCAAGCTGAGATATGTCTAGTATAACCGTAGAGTAGAAAATGCAGACTTTGTGATGGTATTGGAACAATGTTTCTTTTAAGACCTGTGGAAAATGGCAACACGCATTTTTTATAATTCGTTTATCAATTTCTATGTCAAACAAAGTGTGTCCTTGACATTGCATTGGTTGGGATCTAGCAGCTCCAGCAGTTACTGCTGTGAAACAGTCACTTCTGGTCTCAACAGGGCAAAAATGGTGAACCATGCCCCTCCAGGTCTGTTCAAGCCAGTTATGAGACAAAGTCAATGCAAAAGCCCAGCCTCTCACTGCTTCTCTAAGGATAGAGTGGATGCTGACTGGTGTGCTGTAATCAAGCAAAAGTAACATTTTCCAAGTAACATTTGACTGCCCTGCTCTCTGTCATCTTGCAAGCATGAAGCTTTGGTTTGTAGCTCAGTGAACAAGTATCTTAAATCACCCAGCTGTCCACAGGCAGGTGTGTTTCCCCTCCATTGGTTCTCTTCATTAATTTACAGATGCCTTAGTCCCAATTTTTTATCTTCCATTCAACAGTTGAATGCATGCAGACACACTGTTGACATGGTTTAATATCACCTTTAGCTAAAACTAGTTTTGATCATACACAGGACTAAATGCACAGTATTACACAGTAATGAGGCCAGTAGAGATCAAGTAGTTAACATAATTCTCTAATGAAGTGGATCCCCCAGGGGCGTTTTATTTCTGTTGAGGCATGAGCATGTTACTGGGCTGAGTTGGCTGTCCATACACTGTTTAAATGATTCTGCCTTTCCTGTGTGTGATGTGAAATCTGCAAGAGATTTTTTTTCCTGGACTTTTGCCAATATATTGAGAGGCCACCTGCACAGCTATGTGTGTTTTGGGGTGTTGTGGTAAATGAAGAGTGTAGGAGGCTGAACAGCTTGAGGACAATTGAGGAAACTCGGCTAAGGGTACTGCTGCAAAACTTCCTCTGATAATAATCCGTGCAATACCTTACATTAATTATATGACTAATTTGCATCTAAATTAAAGTCATGAATACAGCATTAATCTTTGGTTACGCATCTAATGGCCTTAATAATTTGTTTACTGCTACACCATCACCAGCATTGTGTTCTTTTCACAATCAACCATTTATATGCAGGCAGTAAGTACCAGCTAATCAGTTTGTATGTATGTGCTTTTAAAAATGTTTGAAAATGCATGCTAAAGGTTGAATTAAATATAGCTTTGCATGAGACTTCGAAGCCACTTGCAGTTTTTGCATGATTTTAGAACGGTTCCGATTCAATATCGGATAAGATTATCATCATGCCGAGTCATCTCTGTGGAGGGTCCAAAATGCAAATCACATCTAAATATTGTATGTTACTACAAATCAATCCAACTGAAGCGTTCCCCATATTTACGTGTCTATAAAATAATCAAACCATTGCTGTTAGTATGATGGCCATGGTGATAAGGAGACTCGGGGAACATAACGTTTATTGTCCAACTGTAGGGTGACAGTTTGTTCCCAGTTTGTTCCCAGTTTGTTAGTAGGGCCATGAGCAGAAATGTGGCAACAGTTTAAGCATGGAAAGCCACAATTTCTTGGCCACTGTAGGTTTAGCTAGTCACTAAAAATCAACATGCAAAGGTCACAAAATGAACACATCAAACTGGACATGTGCAATATGGACAAAGACATTGCTGGACCAGTAACAAGAAACAGTCCTCTTGGCAACCTTGGAGACCTTTTAAACACCTCTTGAACCAGTTCTGAATATCGTGCTCAGGCTTCCAATTAATCCTTTATCAATTTGTGTCACGTTTCCTTCACATTCAGTATTCAACTGAATTGTTTTGTTCCTCAACCTGTAAAGTGCTCTGAGCATCCAATGGCTGTATTTGACAGTTGTAGAGATGTTTTTCTATACATTTTCAAAATTCATTAACATCGTTTGGATGTTGATTTTTTAGCTGCTTAAGATTGTGATGAAGGTGCAGAAAGTTAATTATCTTTTTTATATATAACTTCTTCCATCAGGATCATCTTTGCACCTCATCTGCTAAACTTCTGTATTTTCTTAACAAGCAGTCCTGTGAGCAGATTCATTGAGAGGCTTTCTTGGTCTCTTGGAAAGCCAATTGATTGCACTCTTTTCTCCTTATATCTGTCTCCAGCTGTTGTAGCTATCTGTCATCTTCATTTCCAAAATTCAAGGCAACGTCTAAGAAGAATCAATGTCTTCAGACTTTTGGAACAACATTTGAGAATAGGTGGTGTTCAATACAAAAGTCACTTCTTCTCACTATTGTCAATACACTGCTACCATCTTTTGACCTCACCGTCACTTTATTAGTGCTGTTACTCTAATAACTTTAGTCGCCTCTCACTTGGGCGGCGCAACATACAGATCCAGTAGATAAATGTGAAGCTGATGGCTCTGTCACTTCCTCCTTTAATTCATGTCACTCCCATCTGTTCCAGCTGCTCCCTTTGTGCTTTTGCACACCTCAGCCAAAAAAGGAGAGTCAGTTGTTGACCCATCTGCTCACAGGCATTAATGAAATACAGTATGCAGCCCCAAGTAAAGTACACATACCATTAATGTATGACAAAACTCTTTACATAGTGTTGCACTGACAGCCAAAACACAAAAAAGTGTAGCTTGTGCAGAATAAAAAACAGGTCTAAAATCTACGGGCCAATACTGGCAATCTCCAACCAGTCATCCCTGGCAACATGTGTGCTGTGTAATGGAAAGTATAAATCTTTGCCAGTAAATCAATTTGCAGCACCCTGCAGGTTGCCCACTGCGGAGTGACAGCTGCAGATATAACCTCAGCAAGTAAGCAGATCAAAGGGGTTGATAAGGAGAATACACACACCAACTAATAATCCAAAGTGGTGTTGTTTGGGGATTTTATTTAAATATGCAGTTAAGTTAATATCCAAGCCTACTTAGTTTTTCAAAAGACTTCCCAGGAAGTCGTCTTGGTAAACAAAAGCATGGAATTTGATCTGATCCGGTCTTATCTTATACTATCCATCTTATCTTATTTATCTCAATTGATCATATGTATTTATTTTTTTTGTAATTAACTAATTAATTACCGTAAACTTTTTGGAATAATCTTTTCTTTTTTTAAAAACTTTTTGGGGGTGATTAACTTTCAATGATAAAACAAAGTTGAGATTATTAAATTTGAAGTGCGTAGCGAAGATGATATCAAGTTCATTGCACGATGTAACAGCCCATCACATAAATAAGGCTCACCTGCAACCTATTAAGGTTTTAACCAATCACAGAACAGCTGTCCTGTTCTGGGACGGTTAATTACGTCCATCAGCGTCGTCTGGCAGCCATATTTTAGCATTGTACGCAACAGGCTTCAGAAACACGTAAAACGTGGATTTCATTCATTCGACCCACTGTAGAAGAGTTTTAACTTAAGATATGTCTTCAGCAATTAAGTAAGTGGTCAATTCTAGAGTTTTACCTTGAACCTTCTCTTTTCTGCCATATCGTAAGCAAAAGGAGATCATTCCACGTGTTCCATGCTTAGCAAAATAAAGTATGTATCTAAAAAATAATTAAAAAAACAGAGGAAATAACTCTTCTTTAACTCATCACAATGGTGATTCGAAACGTCCATTTCTAGCAACAGACCGCTAAAAAAAAAAAATGTTTGCGCACACACGCTTCAGCAAAAGCTCAAAGTGGGTTCAGGTTACACTGGGATCCCCGTTGATCTGATCGGGGAGCAGCTGTGCGCCAAAAGTGACGGAAAAGCATTCGCAATGCGCGTCGTGACTTAACGAAGGAGCCTCCTTTTTTCCCCTTCTTTTTCAAAGAGCGGCATCTGTCGTTATCACCACGCACCTGCTCCTCCTCCTCCTCTTCCTCTTAGTCCCGGGACCACAGGAACAGGTAAGAAACGATTCCCATTTTGACAGTATCACCCCCCCAGATGTTCTG